GTAGATCCGAATCCCTAGTTTAGATCTCTGGACATTTATGAAATTTTGAAAACAAAATTTGAATGATTTATAAGTCTTCAAATTGTGATTTAGATACTTTCAAATGTTATTTTAAGTTTATTATTTTATGTTTTGTGTAGATTGTTTATAATTGTCTGTGATTGATTGGGCTGAATAGTGTAGAATTGAATTGAATTTGCATGTGAACAAAGTTTCTTCTGTCAAAAAAATTGCAGAAAAAGCGACGGACAACGTGATTTTGTCCGTCGCATTTTTGTATTTTTCAAAAAAAAAATAATTTCCTAAAAAGCAACGCACGACGCCTCCTTTTGAAATTAAATAAAAATAAGTCAAAAAAACGAAAGAAAGCATCGAGCTAAAAAGCAAAAAAAGAGACTGCCTCACTTTTTCGTCAATTTTGACCAAAAAAGCAACTTTGTCCGTCGTTTTTGGCGATTGTTTTTTTTACAGTTTTTTAGTAGTGGTTTAATGACATCCTTTGGAGCTAGGGGACTAACGATATAAGGTATCCAATGTTTGCCATTGTAGGAGACTTGATAACTGAGATAATGTGGATTCACTTGCTAATGTCTATTTGAGAAAAATATTACGGCGGCACATAAATCTGAGACTTAAAGATAGTTAGTAAAGGCTCACAGATGTTGATCAGACCTTCATCCCTAAAATCTACTTGATACTAAGTATACTTCTAATGGAAACATGCATAATCTGAAAACAGTAATAATATGATAATATCAAATCATACTAATAACTTATATGTATTAAGTAGCTTTTAAATCATGGTGATTCAAATGACATTCAGAGATCCGTTATCTGAAAGCATCTTATATCATGATAATCTAAAAATAATTTGAAGGATACTTTATTTTTAAGCATCTAAATCATAAAAATTTGATAATCTTATACTTGCATCTGAAATAACGTAATTCTAAGTCATGAATTACTTATATGTTATGAGTTCATGAAATTTCATTGAAAAACATATAATTATAGTTGAAATCATATCATTCATGAGTAAATCAAGTAATGAGGGACTGATAAAAAAGAAAACTGATTTACAATGAAAATTCATGAAGATCATTAAAAGGGGGAAAAGGCTCAAATATGCCAACGAACTTTTAGAAAATGCTCATTTATGCCATTAGTTAAAAGTTTGGCTCATTTATGTAATTACCATAAAAAAAGGTTCATTTATGTCATTATTTTTTAACAATGGTTTTACAAAACCATTTTTGACACTTGACCAATTATAATTCGGTTACGTCATAATTTTTTTAATAAAAAAATCATAATTCTGAAAAAAAGATGAAATTAATTTTTTTTATCAAATAAATTGATGATGTGGCTGAATTATAATTGGTCATGTCATTAATTTATTTAATAAAAAAAACAAAATTCTGAATAAATTTTTTTTTTGAAAAACTGATGACGTGGCCGAATTATAATTGGCCACGTGTCAAAAATGGTTTTACAAAACCATTGTTAAAATATAATGGCATGAATGGGCCTTTTTTTTAACAGTAATTACATAAATGAGCCAAACTTTTAACTGATGACATAAATGAGCCTTTTCTGAAAGTTCAATAGCATATTTGAGTCTTTTCCCTTAAAAAAGTATAGGAGTAATTTCCTTAGATAGACCCATGTTTGACAAATTACCTATTATATCACTTATGTTTGTTTTAAGACTACAATATCACCCAACTTTACATATTTTCATCAGAATATACTTGACACACACAAAAATACTATTCTATATACTTGGCACAAAAAAAAATACTATTCTATCACCTATTGCTATGCCATGTCACATTTTCATTTTTTCCTAAAAAAATAAACCTTTTGAAATAACTCATATGTTATATTCCATAAAAAAAATCTTAATTGTTTATCAGTTTTTTTTTTACTTTACCATATTAAGAGATCAACATTATTTTTCTATTATTACATTTAACATTAATTATTTTTCTAAATCATTCTCAAATTGTTCTTCTTCAATTTCTTAAAGAATGTGTGTGTGTGTATATATATATATATAAAAGAACTACATGTCATGTTTGACTTGTCTACCGGTGTGTTATAAAATTATGACACGATTTTTCAACATCAAATAACTATCACTATTCGGGATTGATTTTCTACGTCAATCTATTATTATTGAGAAATTGAATTGGCTTGATGATGATTATACAAAAGTTCTACTTTCTTCGCCCTATTCCTTATTAATTTTCTTTTTTTTATGAATATATAAAATTCATGTTTATAACACGTTGCAAAAGTATTGATTGTTAAGTGATATTTGTATTAGAATTAGAATTAGTATGCAGAAAATTTTACTCTTCTTTGCCTTCAAAAATTTATTATTGGTAGGTTCCTTCTTGGTCTTTTCTTCAACAACATGAGCTTTCATTATTGGTTCCTTCAACAGGTTATTGTCACGCTATCGTATCTCTTGTTCAATTTGCAAGTGATACAATAATTGTCCAAGAGTCAAATCTTCCTTTTTGTGTAAGAGTTTACCTCTGTACTCCTTTCAAGATGGAGGAAGTTTTGAGACAACCGCACCAACATGAAACTTTTTCATCAAGAACATTTCCAGATGTAGCAATTTTATTAGCTAGTTGAAATTCTTGTACTTGTACAATGATTGATTTTCCATCAACTATATTGAACTCCATATAATTTGAATTAAGAAATTTCATTGAACTCGTCTCTTCTGCTGAATGGGTATGTTTAAGAGTATATCCCAAATCACTGTAGCAAATCACTTAATATTATATTGGTCATTATATTTATTGGACATTCCTTCAAGAATATAATTCTTGTATAAGTAATCATCTTGTCGTTTGAAAATTTGTTCTTTAATCAGAGTAGCCTCATCCATTGCTACTTTAGAACCAGGAGCATCAGGACAAGATTTCTTAAGAACATATGGTAACTTTAATCATCTTAAAAATAATTCCATCTTTCAACGCCATCTAGGGAAGTCTTTGCCATCAAATATTCGAAAATTAGGATTAGGCAAATTTAGAACACTGTTTGTTATTGATGTGGATGCCATAGAGACAACTATCTTCAAATTGTTAGAATAACTGAATAAGAATGATAAAAATATAAGGAATTTAAAACAACGCTTGCTTGACTTAGAGGCACGTAAATACGTTTCTTGATGATAGTTGGAATCTCTCCCACGAGCAATCGGAAGAATAAATAACAACTCTATCTTCGGGATTCAACTAAGCCACAAAAGAAGTAGCATTCAAGAATGTTGCTCTTCTATTCTTGAATTGGTGATTTCACCTTTTGATTAATGTCTCGCAAGTGTTTTCAAGGGAAAGTAATTTTTCTTGAGTGCTTATCTTTTCAACCAAAAGAAACTCAATTTATAGTACAAAAGTTTCGTAAGAAAAGAATTTTAATTAAATAATATTTATAATAGGTTCATGAATCGAAAAGAAAAATTGTAACTTCCAAAACTCTATAACGTAAAATTTTTAAAAGCGTCTTGCAAAACATCTATAACGTAGAATTAAAATAAAATGAATACTACAACTCACATTAATGAATTTTTTTATTTCAAAACTATTAACGAATAAATTTGTTTCAAAATTAATTGAAACATTAAACTCTAACAAAACTTTGCATAGTTAAACCTCACAAAGATTAAAAGAGAAATTTGTCAATATTGCATATTAGAGCTATGTATCAATAAAAGGCCAAATACATACGCAGGTCCCTAAAGTTGTTCGCGCTTCCCCCCAGGTACCTCAACTAACTAAGATTCCTATTAAATCCTTTAACCCCCTATAATTTGATCCTTTTAAATATTCTTGGCTGATGTGGAGCCAAACGTGATCTCACGTCCTTTAAGCGCGTGCAGACTCTTTAAAAGGGCTGATGTGGATCTTGAACCACCCACCAATGATCTTCTTCCCCCTTTTAACCCTAATTTCTCCCATTCTTCCATTATTTCTCCTCTTTTGTTTCTCTTCATCATTATTTCTCCTCTTTACCTCATTATATTATATCTCTTTTTCATTGATTTCTTCTTAATCATCAATTTCTAATGTCGAATTTATCTTCTTCATCAATTTCTTCTTCTTCAACTGTGAAAATCGTCTGCAATTCCTTTAACAAACCACTCAAAATCACTTAAACATCTAAGGATTTCAGCTATAAAAGTCATTGAAAGGGAGAGATTCTTAGGGTTTTCTCGTTTAGAAACGGGTTAGAAGTGATTTGGGGGAAATTGATTTTTAGGTTTGATGACTTAATATGTGGCACTGACGTGTAATTGGGTTGGAGTGTATTCGTCAAAATTTCCACGTGGGGAAGGTTCATCTCATGCACCTAATTACCAAAAATAATTTATTGAAATTTGGCTCCACATCAGCCAAGAATATTAAAAAGGATCAAATTATAGGGGGTTAAAGGATTTAATAGGAATCTTAGTTAGTTGAGGTACCTGGGGGAAAAGCGCGAACAACTTTAGGGACCTGCCTATGTATTTTGAGTTCGAAACGTATTAATGTGTCATGCTGAAACTTACAACTGCAAATATACTAGTTATAAACTAGATAACAAGTAAAAACATGTAAAGAACATATTATTAATATAGTTTAACCAAGCGGCCTACGTATTATAAAATTATAAACATATTGAGAAAAAAAAATTTCGTAAATAAAATTCTTAAATGTCTATATTGGATATTATTGTTATAATAGAGTTACAAACTTTACCTAAAAAAGAAAATCAAATATGAAAGATAATTATATTTTCCTTTTCGGAAAAGTTCGAATACTTATGATAATACTTTAATTTTTCTAAAATAAAACTTAAAATATGGTAAATTAGTTATATTAAAAAATGCATGAAACCTTAAAATATTTTACTTTTATTCTAAAATTGGAAAACTTTGGACAAAATAATTTTGCTCAAATTGAAATAAATAAGTGAAATAATGTTCAAATTATATTTTTTCCGTTTGGAAAGAGGGTCAAATAGGAGAAGGAAATTGTACAAATGCATATATAAAATATTCTCGCAATATCACACCTTTCTTCAATCTTCTTGCTTATCGGCCGATTTCTCAATATCTCTCTTCACTGTTACAGGTAATATACAGCAGCCATCCTTTCATGGCAGTGATATTACAGATTTCATTTTTTACGAATGTGTATTGCTTAGTGTCTAGTTTTATTATTGGAAGATTTTTACATGTGTTTACGAAGATGGAATTGGATACATGTGTTTTTAAATAGATTAGATCTGGGTCTATTATCGTTTGGAGTAGATTTTACTTATTGATTGTGTATTAAGGTAATATTAGTTTTGTTATGCTGAATCTGTTTTTTGATTTTTGGATGTAGGGTTTTTGATTCGTTAAAGTAATACTATCTAACTAGTGGTGAAGTTCAATGGGGAGAAAGAAGGCAACAGAAGAGAATTCTGAACCTCCCAAGCAGGGCGGCGGTGGAGGAGGGAAGACTAAGAAGAAGAATAGGGTGATTGATGACGATGAGTACTCTGTCCAGACTGAAGAACCTACACTTCAGGAAGATACAGTACTTGATGATGATGAGAGAAAGAAGCCAGCCAAGCAGGTTGGTGGTGGTGGAGTCAAGTCAAGGAAGAAGAATGTGGTAATTGATGATGATGAATACACTATTGCGACAGAGGAACCTGTTATTCTGGAAGAAAAAGTAATACTTGGTGGACAGAAAAAAGCTAAAAAGGGGAAGAAGGGTGCCTCTAATTATGGAGGGTATTTAACAAGGGATAGTGATCAAGAGGATGAAGGCATTGCCCCCTTCACTGGGAAACTGAACAAGTCAAAGCAGGGAAAAACCAGTGCTGGTGTGTTTTCTACAGCTTTTGATACAATTGGTGATGAAGAGTCCGAGGAAGATGAAGAACCAGTCCTTGCTGGTATGGGGAAGACTAGTGGCAATTCATTTAGTGTGGCTCTTCTTGACGAAGAAGAGGAGGCAGATACTTCTGTTTCTAAGTTTGACACAGAAACAGTTGAAGAGGATGATGCGCCAGAACTTATATTTGCAGGTAAAAAGAAGTCATCTAAGAAGAAGAAAAAAAGTGCTGTCACTGAAGCAAATGTTAAGGAAGAAGCTGAATCAGAACAAGCTAGCCCAGGGGTTAACCCTGAAGAAGAAGCTAATGATAATGACAAAAAAAAACAGCAAAGAGATGTACCAGAAACTTCTAAGAATAAAACCAAGAAGAAAAAGGGTGGTCGTACAGTTCAAGAAGATGAGGATGAGATTGACAAGATTCTAGCAGAACTTGGTGAAGAAGCTGCTCCTGTACCGTCTGAAGAGAAAGTACATGCTCAGCTGGAGTCAAAAGATAATAAATCTAAGAAGAAAAAGGGTGGCAGAATGGCTCAAGAGGAGGATGACATTGACAAAATTCTGGCAGAAATTGGTGAAGGGCCACCAGCTACATCTGCACCTACTCCTTCTCTTGCACAAGAAGTGAAAGGCCAATTGCAGCCTCAACTAGGTGATGCTGCTGCTGAGAAGGAGGCAACTGAAGAAGGAGCTATGGAGTCTGCTGCTGCAAAGAAGAAGAAAAAGAAGAAGGAGAAGGAAAAAGAAAAAAAGGCAGCTGCTGCTGCC